CCTCTGAAGTCTCATCCTTTGTGGGTAACCCTGTAGCTAACTAGCTAGATATATATATAGATAGACAGATGGATAGATTGATATATATAGCAAATTCAAAATTAGATGGATAAATATTTTTTATTTCTATTTATGTTACAAAGGAGAGATAAATAGATAGATAGATATTTAGTGGATTTAACCATTGTTTGTTAACTGAAGAGGAGTAATCCGAATCATTTTGTAATAAATATGAAAAATTAAAACAGTTCTTTGCAGTATATTTATAGAAGACCATATATTGATGGAAAGGGTATGCATAGATAGAGGGATAGGTATAATGATAGATAGATAAATAGTGTAAAAAAGGTTCATGTAGAATGATAAAATTAATCATATGTTGTTAGTAAGGAAAGGATAGATGTGTATACTATACAGTAAACACTGTTGATATAGTATACTATATATATCGGCTTCCAAAGCTTTTTTCGTAGATTTTGATAATCGAAATTATCGGAAGGCAAATTTCTAAATTCTGACCATCCATAAACCTTCCTAGGGGTCATATGAGGCCACACAAAAAGTTTATGCCCGTTTTGACATTTTTGTATAGATGGATTGATAGATATAGTATGAAAAGGGTTTATATACAACGATAGAAGACCATATATTGATATATGATATTGATATAATTGTCTCAACCATATTCTCTACAATTACTGTCATGTCAGCCTTACATTTGCCTTAGATCAATCATACTCTACACTCTTTCACTCTACAATCATTCATTCATTCATTCATCAATATTCAATATACATCACTCCATCTTATAAAATCATTCATTCATTCATCAATATTCAATATACATCACTCCATCTTATACAATCATTTATTCATTCATCAATATTCAATATACATCACTCCATCTTATGCAATCATTCATTCATTCATCAATATTCAATATACATCACTCCATCTTTCCATTCAATACTCAGTATTTAACCCATCCAAAGCTTAAACAATTTACTCAGATTTAGTTGATCTTACCTGCATTATAAAGGTAAACTAGAAATTGTTTGTCCTACGAGGGACTGTAAGTGAACCTCAATATCTTCCACAATATTGATGAGATAAAGGTTTAAAGGACATTAGTCTGAGTACAACAACACAATTGCAATGTTCTATATTCATTGGACAATAATTTGTGAGGAACAGTCGTCTTCTTAAAGGGAGTGTTCGCGAAAAATGAAAGGGGTACAGGCTTACGGCGAAAAACAAGTGCTTTTGACAGCTAATAATCTTACTTCTATCTGTTGCGTCTATCAGGAGAAAATTGTTAAAAACGACTCATGCTCAAGAAAGTATCGCCCATACAAATTCAGAAAGATGCAACATTCAACACTGATCGTAAATAAATCAATTTAATTTCAAACAAATCATTCAGATATTACAACCTATAGGCATCGATTATTTTTCGACGCATTCGTATATAGTTAATATTGGCGCTGGATTTTCGAATATTCTTGGATAATATGAAAATGTCGTCTTCATTTTCAAAAACCCTCGAGACAGGAATAAATATTTTCAAAAATAACTCTATGATTATTAGTTGTAATATCTGTATGATTTGTTTGGAATTTTTTTTTACGATCCGAGTTGAATGTTGCAACTTTCTGAATTTGTATGGAAAGTAAGATTAGTAGAGATCGGATATAAAATTTTCGCGAACACTCCCATTAATCATCAGTGTTAGGTGTCTCACTGTATGAACCACAGGAAGATTGATGTATAATCTCAAAACTATATACATGGATGAATCTGTGTATACACTGTACCTGGATATAAAACCAAATTGATCACATCTCATGTTTCTTTCCCACTCGACATTTATAGCTAGATAAACATATGCAACTACGCCTCTATTTAACCTTCTTTGGGGGCGGAAAAACTGCACGGTTTTCTTCCTACAGGTGATCATTTATTCTAGAGCAAACAGCCTTACCTCGTGCATCATTTAAATTTTAAACATTTTCATTTTCTAAATCATTAAGTTACAAGATGACATTTTCTCCAAAATATTTCTAATTGCAAAAGAAGCGTCGACACCAGGGGCGGATACAGAATTTAAGTAAGGGGGGGGGGTGCAAGATTTATTTCCGGGGGAAAAAATCTTGATTTAGGAGCCAAAAGAGTCAAAATTAATGACTGAAGACTAAAAAGCTAGAATTTTAACTTATCAAACTTTTTAAGATAGATATTTTTCCACATACTCTCAGTACACATATTTGAAATGGGATGACTCACGGGATGAGGGATGAATACAATTCCGTAATGCGTTAATATTTAGTGGCGTAGTAACCGTCACATAACTTATATTGATATTGTACTCCCCCCTGGTCCCCTCTAGTCCTTCTAGTGATAAACCCTAGTTTTTCTCAAGGAATACAAACACCACAAATTACAAATTATCTGTATATGGGGGCGTGTATTATGTATATTTGTATTTTTATGAATATTACAGTGACAAAATGGACAGGAACGGTGGCGGCTTCAGGGGAGGAAGAATGCAAGGACCTCTAGAAATTTTAATAAGAAAAATTAAAACATTAAATATCATTAATTAATATTATTATTTTAGCACGACCTGGTTTTAAGTTTTTGAATTTGAATTTTCTCTAAAGCTCGGGACAAAATATTATCTAAAAAGGCTTGATCAAGAGTAGGGCTGGGCAAAGTTCCGTTAACGAAACAAGGTTTTCGAAAATTAACGGAGGAGTCCGTTAACGAACGGCAAAAACCGTTAATCTTAAAATCGTTAACGAAACCAATTGGCCGTTTACAAAAAAAATTAACGGTTAAAATTGTCCAGTAAACGCCGTTAATAAAATTGAAATCGTTAACTAACGTTAATTAAAAAATAAACGGAAAATGTCGTTAACGAAACGAACATTCCATTCTTTCATTAAAAATGAATGGCTAACATAAATTTTTCTTTTTTAACAGAATTGGAACTAACCGTTAACAAAACGGCTAGAAAAAGTTGAAACGTGCTCAGTCCTAATAAAGAGATGATTTCTGTCGAAAATTTTGATGCACTGCTGTAAACCAAAATAGATCATGAGTCCATATAATTCCATCTGATCAATGCCAAATTCCCCAAACGTTGGTTGATTGATATTAGGGGCAGTAATAAACCATGTTGTTATTGTAAACAATTGGAAGTATAATGTCAAGTTGTAGAAAAAAATCCATACTGCAGAATGTATACGGCAAGGGAGTGTTTTTCTGTACATCATAATCTATCTCTTATATTAAATACTAATAAGTAATATTTACATCTTTTCACATTTCTGAAGTGTAGTACACGTACACAAAATCTTGTCAAAGTTCACAATGACATATAAAGTGTACTTTCATGCCCCTAAATGTACTTTCAACCTAAATCCCATTTGGAATCAGAAATGGAATTATATGGACCACTGAAATAGTTAAATAAACAACAGCAAGTGGATTTTTCAAAATACTCCTTTAGTGCTGAATCAAGAAACAAGCGCTTTGGCGCATTGGAATTATTTAAATCCGGGGCTAGAAAACATATAAATTGTTTAGGGAGGTAAATATAACTTTAACCAATTGGGCAAACAGCTGTTTTATATACAGGGTGTCCCACGAAACATGACAGTATGCAGGACGACTTGAATGTCGTCTTGATTTTTGATATAATTTGCTGCGTTTATTTGTCAACCTAATCTTAGAAGTAAATTTCTAGAGATAATAATCACAAAATTCCCCTAGTCCTGCCATTTCCAAAATGTGGTCTGCCTTTTTTGTGCTTTCAATATTGCCCGAGATATGAAGAATTTCGTTCAGATTTCGACAAGTTTGCTTTTATTTAACAAAATTGAAATCTGAACCAAACTCTTTATATCTCCGGTAATATTGAAAGCACAAAAAACGCAGACCACTTTTTGGAAATGCCAGGGCTAGGAGAATTATGTGATAATTGTTTCAAGAATCATACATGTTAAAGTAGATAGAAGACTAAATGTCAAAAATAAATTCAAATATCAAAGACGACTTTCAAGTCGTCTTGCTATTGTCATGTTTCGTGGGACACCCTGTAGGTTAGATTTCGTGATGAGGTTGCGAGATTTAATTTATGTTGAAGATACATACTCACTAAGGATGAGACTTTGGATTGTAAAGATGATCCAATTCTTTTAAATATGACGATTTAAAGCTTAATTTTTAGTTTATACCTTAATGGTTTATCAAATGAAAAAACACAAGTTTAAGTCTGCAAGGAAGCCTACTAGTACGAAAAGAGACTGATCAAATTCCTCACAGTCGTCTCTGGACTCTCATTTTTCGTGGGTAACCCTGAAGAGACATTGTGCCAACTATATATACATCATATTTAGTTTAACGTAAAATCAATTCAAATGTGGTAATTTTTCTTTTTGTTTTGGTAAGCCACAAAAATAAGTTGCAGTCAGTTGTCCCAATATATTTTAGAATTTATAAATGTTTGACCAAAAAAATTATTATTGAATTTGAACAAATCTTTTCAGGACTATTTTGTCAAAATTCTCACACCAGGTTTAATAAGAAAAAGATTTTAAAAATCTTTTATGTTACATACTTAAGTTCTGAATATTTTGTCAACCGTTACCGTNTTTAAAAACAAGTTTCAATACCCCACCCTGTCCCCAGTGCCACTCCATTATTAAAAATCTGTAAATTGGTTTAATCCTCCATACTGCACCATGCATACTTGTATACGCACGTAATGCGTCAGTTGAAGTAGATAAGACCTGGTCTTAATTCTTAAATTACATAAATACCAGATTACATGAAAATCCGTGCCTCAAGCCACTTCTAATTCCCTCCCCCCCCTCTTAAATACGCCTGTATACCGCCCCCCATAGTCCTCAAATATATCTCCCCCCAGCAGCTTAACTCATAAAACTAAGGTCAAGATAAAATTATTACTTTGTTTTTCATTTTATTTTTGACAAACATTCTTTCTAAACATTTATTTACATTTTACAATTTACATTTTACACTACGTTTATTGCGTTTCTTTAGATAACTTGATAACATACGGTGGTAAGGGATTATATCAACACAATGATTATTTAATTGATTAATTCTACTGACTTCTATGTTTACGTGTTTCCATGCTGTTCTATAGCTTGATTTAAATCAAAATTTAATTCGAAAGTCGTCTTCTTTGTTTTGATAAAATCGTTTACCACTGTAGCTAAGTAGTCAAGTTTTAGCTGTTTATCATAGTTCGGGTTTCACTGATGCTTCCTGCAAGGAGTTTAAATTTAGCTGCTTAGAAGTTATAACTTTTCGCTGCTTCTTTAGTCGGTTAGGTTTAGCTACTCAACCCAGTAGTTTAACTGCTTCCCCACGTCTTAAGGTTTAGCTGCTCTCCTAGCAGGTTCAGGTCCGACTAAAACAATTCCTGATCATTAATATTTTTACATTCTGTTTGTGAAGTTCTTAAAGATTTAGAACTTAAAAGTGATGTTAGTTAATATATTATATATTATTTATGTATATTTCTAGGTATATTTCTATGTGTATTTCTAAGTATGTATAGTTATAATTATATAACTACATAGAAATCCTCTATAATTTACCGTATCACTTATCAGTACTCGTATATCTCTGTAGTATAAGTACTCATCTATGTACCTATAGCAGTATCAGTACTCCTCTTGTTACCTACTTATATCTGTTCTCCTTTAGGTAGTAGGTACCTACCTGAGTAGGAACTCCTCCAGGCATCTACCTGATTAACTACTCTTCTAGGTGCCAGGGTACCTATACCTAAATGTAGGGCTGGGCAAAGTTCCGTTAACGGAACGGAGGTCTTCAAAATTTAACGAAAGAGTCCGTTAACGAACGGCAAAACCGCAAATTTTTAAATCGTTAAAAAAACGATTAGCCGTACTTGAAAAAAAATTAACGGTTAAAAAGCTTATTTTACAAAAAAATGGTGAATTTCGTATTTTTGTTTTAATGGTGAAAATTACAGGTAAGTGCAACAAAGTTGGAAATAAACTGAGTTCACAATGCTCTGTCTTGAACAACATGCAATTAAACTTTAGAGTAAAACTTACACCTAGGATTTTTAACTTTGTTCTTTTTTAAACATTTAAAAAACTTCCCACATTTTAATATTTTAAAACATTTTAATATTTTTTGTTATTTACTCTTCTTCAATCAAGCCACAAAGGGGAATAATTAGGCAGAAAATAAGTAATAAACAATTTTGGAATTTGTAAAACCTCGAGTTTTTGTGGACATTTTACGCCGTTAATACTACAAAAGACCTTTAACGATTTCAGGAACCGTTAATACTGTAATCGACCATTAACGGCTATGCTGGTGACGATTTTTACACCGTTAATACTGTAATTAACAGTTAACGACGGCCGTTCGCGATTTCTTAAACAGTTAACGAACTTTTTTGGCGCTTCTTGCCGTTAATAGTGTATTTTATCGTTAACGATTTTTGGATTTTTTCCGTTAACGCCGTTAATAAACAGTAATTTAAAAAAAGAAAATTCTGTTAACAGAACGAAGGCTGCGTTCTCACCTTTAAAATTAACGGTTAACTAATGAAATGACTAGAAAAAGTTGGAACGTGCCCAGCCCTAACTACATGAGTAAGAAATCCTCTTTCCTCATATAACTCATTTAGGATAGAATCCACTGTTGTGATTTAAGGGTAAATCTTAATTGCCTGAGTAAGTACTCCTTAAGGTACCTACCTGTATCAGTACTACTCTTGGTACCTACCTGAGTAAGTACTCCTTTAGGTACCTACCTGTATCAGTACTCCTCTTGGTACCTACCTGAGTAAGTACTCCTTTAGGTACCTACCTGTATCAGTACTCCTCTTGGTACCTACCTGAGTAAGTACTCCTTTAGGTACCTACCTGTATCAGTACTCCTCTTGGTACCTACCTGAGTAAGTACTCCTTTAGGTATGTATCCTTCCAACTTCTGTATATGCTCTTGGAGCATTCGTCTTCTCTCCTCTTCCAGAATACTTCTCTGTCTTCTCTCTTCATCTTCCTGCTCTGCTCTTAGAGCAATATTCTTTTCGGCCTCCTCCATCCTTCAATTAACAATCATTAAAGGGAATATTATTGACAGAATTCTGGTAAAAATAATAGAATTCTGGTAAAAATAATGAAATTCTGGTAAAAATAATAAAATTCTTATATCTTAATAATATCTTAAAATCTTATAATAACAAGAATCATAGAAGACAAATCTGCTTCAAATTATTAGGGCAAATTAGCACCAAATCTAAATTACATTTATAACATTTTTGATTTAAAAATATAAACCTTCTCCTCTGCTTATCTTGAAGGATCTCCTGGATTGCTCTTTTGTGCTCTTCTCTTTTCATCCGCCTCCTCTGCTCGTTCATTTGCTCTTAAATCAATCAGTCAATTATAGAAATTTAATTAAATCTAATCAAATCAAATCAATCAATTAGAAAAATATTTAAATCAATCAAATAGAAACTTAGCTGAATAAATAAAGTAGCAACTGAAAAAATCAATCAATCAACTATACAATCTTAATTGAATCAATTTATCAAAATCAATCAATAGACTATAAAACCTTAATTGAATCAATTAATCAATAAGAAAAAATCTAAATCAATTAATGAATTATAAACTTCATTAAAGCAACCAAACAATTATAAAAGCTTAATTATACCAACCAATCAATTATAAATTTGATTTAATCAAACAAACAATTAAAAGCATGATTAAAGCAACCAATCAATTATAAACTAGATCAAATTAATCAATTAATTAGAAACTTAATTATATCAATTAATCAATATCGATAAACCAATCAATTAAAAACTTAATAAAAGCAATCAGTCAATAGTAAAAACTTAATCAAATCAATTAATTAATTAGAAACTTAATTAAATCAATCAATCAACTAGAAACAAAATGAAAAAATCAGATGAAAACTTTTTTCCAGCTGATTTTAAAATATTTTAATATTAAATTTTTATATTATGAAATCTGAGCTGAGAACTATTTATTGTCGATTTCAAGATCGATGCTTGATCTCGATCTTTTGTTAATCTGCAGATTAATTTAATCTTTATTCCATATTCCGCAGTGTAATAATATCCTAAAGGGAAAACTGAAATGAAATTTGATCCTTAAATTGAAAGCCGTTTCAAGTTAATCTTGTCATTTTTTTTAATTGGAAAGCTTCCTACGTAATGTCTTTCTTCTAAAATATTGCCACTGAAAAGAAGTAAAAAAATATTTGGTACTATGGGAAAGATTTTCAAAATACGAATCTTCAACCTTCTTAAAAATAAAAAAGTTGTTAAATATTGTTACAGATGTGATTCTAAGATACCTTTCTAGATTCTGCCATATTCTGAAAGCAAAAGTTTTAATTTTGCATTCTGCTTGATTTTTTTTTCCCCCGGCTGGGTATTCACCATAAAAAATTAATATACAGTGAGAACCAGAAAACTGTGGAATTGGAAGGCGACTTTATAGCACTTTTCAAGTGTATTTAATGTTGTTTCAAATCAAGTAGTTTTAACCCTTATTTAGTTCAAGGGGCCTGTTTAGACTACAAAATTACTGTGTCTCATGTACTTTAGACTCTTGAAAGTCTATAACTTAAGTCTGAAAGTCATCTTCCTATTCCAGAGTTTTCTAGTTCTCTTTGTATATATATTACCTAGTTTATCATCTTCGGCAAACTTTTGCATCATTTTCTCCTTCCACCGTTCATCCTCCTCCTCCTCCCTCCTTTCTTTGTCCTTCCTTTATAAATATTTCAAATTTTATTTTCTCCTTCCACCTTCTCCTTTCTTTATCCTTCCTTTATAAATATTTCAAGTTTCCATTATGTCTTTGCCTAATGTATTATACTACTAATAAAAGACTTCTATATTATTGCTACTGAATAACTACCTCTATTCCACTTCTAAACTGCTATGCAAAGACTACCAATAGATTAAATGAATATCTGAAATGTATTGATACAAAGACTACTTTATTGAAATACTAGTAAAAAAGTCTACTCTTATTGTAATACTGCTAAAAAAGACTACCTTTTTTATAATGCTACTAAATGACTACCTGTATTGAGCTGCAAGTATGTTAGATTCTCTAAGATTAACCCTACGACGAATGTCGTCTTCAATTTCCTGTTCTTCTCGCAATCTTAAAATTTGAAAAACTATTATTACAATTAAAAGAAAATTAGTAATATTCTAATGCTGTGTTTGGCACATTATTTTTTTCTTTTTAAAATGTTTCATAGGTTAAAAATGCAAACATTAAAAAAATACTGTCTGGTAATGACAGATTTTATGACAATTTAAAAAAACAATATTCTTTTTGTTTACAAATTTAAAAAAACAATTGTTTTTAGTCTAGGTAATAGCCAGGCTTTCTGAAATTGAATTCGGATTTTTGATGATTTTCGAAGATTTGTTTTGTCTCGCATACCTATCCTTTTCTTGATTTCTAAATTGTAAAAGTTCAAGCAATAGTCTTTCTCTCTCAAGCTTTTCTTCTTCCTAAAATATTAAGATTTTATCAACTAATAATCAGGTAAACTTTTAAGTTACCCTTTAACAAAAAAGTATCATAAACAATTGGCTCAGAAATCCACTAAACATGTTACTGAAGATATCTTTTTCTATATGGATATAGGATTATTAATGGAGAATACGTAACTAATAAGTTTAAACTTGTATTTTCAAATAAGCGAATGGTCCTTTCAAGGACTTCTTCTGCAGTTTACATATAAAATCTAAATTAATTTCTTATCACAAAATGTCATAATAGCACGAATGCTACCAGGTACCCACCTCTCTTTGTAATCATTTGCCTCCTTCCGGAGTGCATTGATCACAGAGTTAGCATAACATGTGCAATGATACCAGCCCTATTGGAAGTAGCAGAAGATAACGAGTGATAATAATAATAATAATACTAATAGTAAAGATAATGATGACTATAACTATATCTATTCATGAAAGTAAAGCCATAAAACAAATTTAAAACAAACCTTGATCCTGATTTGTTCTGAGAGTTTAAGAACGGTTTGGTTTTTAAGTTGTCTTCTCTCTGTTTCCATCTCCTGGTTCCTCTTGTCCCGTCTCTCCTTCTCCTCCAAGAACATCTAAACAAAATATGCTTAAGCTTATAGTTAAATTGAAGAAAAATATGAAATATGGAATTCTAAATGAGGTAACTTCCTAGAGAATGATTTTTGGACCCCCGCCCCCCCCCCTTTCATCAAAAATATACATGAAATGTTGAAAATGTGGCACGCGCTTGGCACCCTACTCTGTCCTAGCCGCAGCACTCGGTCCAGAAATTGGCTTAACCTAACCAATTCTGAATGCAAACTTTATGATAGCTGGGAGGGGGACGGGGAGAGGGAGGTCCAAAAATCTTTCTTAATACGATTGATCCTCCAATGAATTCTTAACGTTCCCGAGCTCCATATGAAGTGGCGTAACTGAATTTATAAAGCTCTGACATAAGATTTGAAGGAGAAACAAAACTGAACTAAAATTTGGTTAAATCAGCTTTATTTTTATACATTTTTACTATTAATATATTATGTCAAGTAAAAAGAGTGCACTATATTGTTTAGTCCAATTTAAAAATACTCATAATTTGCTTCCACCGGAAGCAAATTATAAGGATCGAAAAAATCCGCAAAATATAGGCTTTGTTGTGATTCTAAAATAGAAAATTAGGGCATATTGTGTATTTTCAAATAAACAAACAATCCCTTTAAAGATAATAAATTCTAGAAAATTACGAACATCTCAAATTAATGTAGACTAGAGCATTTTAAAAATATCTAGAAAAGAAAAACGAAAGAAAACTATGTCAATAAATTACAGTTTGATTATAAAAAATGGACGCTAGGTTCACCTTTATCATCCTGTTTTCCTTTTCAGTTCTCTGGTTCTCCCTCTCCCTCCAGACTTGGTTAGACTCCAGGTACTCCTGGATACTGGTCTGTTGATCAACCTTCTCCCTTAATTTCCTATAATAAACAGACTTGGTTAGACTCCAGGTACTCCTGGATATTTGTCTGCTGATCAACCTTCTCCCGTAATTTCCTACAATAAACAGACTTGGTTAGACTCCAGGTACTCCTGGATACTGGTCTGTTGATCAATCTTCTCCTGTAATTTCCTACAATAAACAGACATGGTTAGACTCCAGGGACTCCTGGATACTGGTCTGCTGATCAACCTTCTCCCGTAATTTCCTACAATAAACAGACTTGGTTGGACTCCAGGTACTCCTGGATACTGGTCTGTTGATCAACCTTCTCCCGTAATTTCCTACAATAAACAGACATGGTTGGACTCCAGGTACTCCTGGATACTGGTCTGCTGATCAACCTTCTCCTGTAATTTCCCACAATAAACAACTTGGTTAGACTCCAGGTACTACTGGATGCTGGTCTGTTGATCAATCTTCTCCTGTAATTTCCTACAATAAACAGACTTGGGTTAGATTAATATATTTTCATTGATTTACAGAATAATTTTCAGAATTCAGATCTTATTTAAAACACTGATTCACAAAGATACCCTTTAAACCTCTGTCTACGCCTATTTGACGATTTACCCTTGTTTATTCTATATAAAATTGATTATTTCATTTATCGGAATAACTATGAGGAACAATGTTGTGAAAAGTTAAAAATGTCCTCAATTTAATTTTCTCCCATATATCTGGTAAGATTTTATGAAAAAAAAAATAGAAAATGATTTATTTTAAGAGAGGAAAACAAGGATTATTGAGTAATTCTTCCTCCACTAATGTTTAAAGGTACCAAGGTGAATCTGACATGCAAATGAAGAGTCAATAGAAATAACACCAACACACCCTTTAAGTTCCCTCTCGATGTCCTAAAAAAAGCATGCTTTTAAAAACAGAAAAAAAACGGTTATTACACCTGAGCCTCTGTTCCTGGTTCTCCTGGTGTATTCTTGTAACAATAGAATCTATCATCTCTTTCTCGGCAATAAACTGAAAACAAGAATATCTTTATTACAAACTGTAATTATCATTCTCTGGGAGATACAATTTTTGGTCAATTTCCAATTATATTAATTTAGGACTTGATTTGTAATGTAAGTGTAACAAATGGCTTGGATCATTAATGGTTGGCAATCTAGGAAAACAGTTGTGCTAGTTTCCTAGGAATCCAAAAATACAGAAAAAAGCGCTTTGCAGCTGATTTTCTAGAAATACAGAAAAGCCACAATGCTAGAAATACAGAAATATAGTAGCGTTGGTTTGCTCTAGAAATCATAGAAGAAACTTGAGCTAGAATTCTAGAAAAGAAAGAAATATGCTTGTTGGCTAGAAAATCAGTTCTGCAGCCTTTCCTAGAAATCTAGAGAATCTTGGTTGGTTAAGAAATTAGAAAAAATAGTTTTGGTACGCTTTGAATTAAAAACAGTTTTGTAGGCCTGAATATAGAGAAAATTCTATTAGCATGAACTATGACTAAAAATCAAGAAAAATTGGAGTGTTGGTTTGCTAAAAAAACGTTTTGTTGTGCTTTAAATTTCAAAATAAATCAGACAGTTAATTGTGTTGGTATTAATATAAAAAAGTCAGCTCTAGAGTATATACTGTTGGTAAAAATCTAGGTTTGCTTAAAAAATAGTTTTTGCAAGCTTCGAATTTTAAAATAAAAAGACAGTTGTGATGGTGTATCAATAATAGAAAGATTTTGTTCCTGGTTGAAGATTTTATTTCTCTCCTCCTGGATCAGTTTTAGCTGCTCATCAAGCTCTTTTTGGTACCTAGAGTAAACTTAGGTTAGATCTGAATTAAACCAGAAAATCTTCATAGATGAGAATAAGATAAAACCAAAATGAAACCAAGATAAAACCAAGAAAAAAACAAGATGAAACCAAGAAAAAAACAAGATGAAACCAAGCAAAACCAAAACAAACAAGATAAAACCAAGATTAAACCTTGATGAAACCAAGATCAAACCAAGATCAAACCAAAATCAACCTAAGATCAAATGAACATAAAACCAAGAAAAAAACAAGATAAATACAAGAGGAAACCAAATTGAAAATAGGATGAAACTAAGATGAAACCAAGATGAAACTAAGCTAAAACCAAGATGAGACAAAAATGAAACTAAGATGACACCAAGATGAAACTAAGATGAAACCAAGATAAAACTAAGATCAAACCAAGATGAAACAAGATGAAACCGAGAAGATTTAAAAAAATCAAAATAAACTGTAAACATGGAGTAAAACGACCTAAAGTAAGACTTAATCTAACTACTATTTAGTAAATTCAGACTTCAATGGAATGATAAAGACTTGTAAAAAAAATATCATAAAAGTAAGACGACTTTACAGATATTATGTAAGACGACTTTTGTAAAGGATACCTTAGTCTTCTAAGTGCATCATCCCTAATTTCTTGTTTTTCTTTCTCTAGGTTGTTTAATCTTTCTTTCTCCTTCTCTTCATTTTCAAACCTTCTCTCATTTTCTTCTATCTGAAGTAATTAGAACATATTCAAGACTTCATTTTTGTAAGAACTAATTTTAAATGCGACCGTTGATTATCTTTTTTTACACATACAGGGTGTCCCACATCAAATAAGACCGCGTTAATGGGTCTAAATTACTATTTGGGGGACAAACCAGAAAATTTAAGAAGAACGAATCATTTTGAAAAATTTAATAAGGCTAATTCTACAGTGAAACCCTTAATAACGAATACATCGGAAGAAATTATCAAATGTCGTCTTGACAATTTTTCAATAAGTAGAAAATTGTTTTGCTAGATTTTTCAAGTATTATGTGCGTATTTTCACGTTAAAGATTGGAGATTATATAGTATGATATGGGACGCTCTGTATGTAAGCAGTCTTTCCATGTTTATATATAAATATATATATATCTGCAAGACTTCAGCTATTTTTATTTATCAAAAAAAAATATACTGGCCTCAACTTTAGTCGATTAAAAAGTTGAAAATATTAATAAAAAAAGAAGACGATATTTAAAATACCTGTTGCTGTGCACGCTTTTCTGCAAGTTGGGCTGCTCTCTCCTTGTTAATATATGCCTAAAAAATTCAACATTTTATTTATTTAAATTTTTTTTCTAAAGATCTGTATGCCGATACGAAAAGACTATATATTTTACACCACTTTTCCTTTTTTTATAAGAATTGGTGAAAAAAGCATTTTGAAACAAATGTTTCATCAACCACCACCTCTTTAACTTTTAGTACAATAAAACGGACGTTTCGTAGGCAAAAAGCTTAAACACACTTATTTTCAGAGACACCTTAAGATGTATTAATGGATATTATATTGCACTTCAGATATGTACTAAAACTGAAGTCATGGGTATAAATTATGTACAAAGTACAAGTTTAACCTGTTCTAACTGTGAAGCTAACGTCCTTAGCTCTAGACTTCCTAAAAAATCATGAATTATATTTGAAAAATTATGTTTAAAATATAAATAATTAATTTTTACCTTGGACAATTTTCTGACGGATTCGATCCTCTGGCAAATACTTCCTATATTATCAGAAACAACTTTTTTCAAAAATGAAATTTACTTTGATTTTTAAAAACCATGTCACTTGTCAAATTTCTCCACATTTCTTGTAAATGGCATGACATTTTTGGTTATTTAGACATTCATTTCAAAATATTAAGAAAAAAATTTAAATTCCTAGAAAATTAGTGAAAAACTTAGCAAACGTGCATTATAATAATAAAAATTCTTTTTAAAGAATATCAAATAATTGTTTCCTTGGTATCATTCTATATTCCACATGAATTTTCTGAAATTATAAGTATGAACTAATACGTAGAGGCTAAACTATTATAAGGGTATGGTAGGTAAGGATTAAAAATATTAACGCCAAAGAAAACATGATAAAAATAGCACCATTAATTTTTAATAAATAATAATAATATTGAGAATAGATTTTTTATTATTAAAATATCAGTAATACTATATAGCATAAATTATAGCACGTATAAATTACGTTCTTTTAAATAAAATATATGTGTAATATATATATATGAAAATTGGTTATAAGAATAGTGCAAATAAAATCTGATCGATTGATCAGAGAGTCACGTTCGTTGCACGTTTGCAGTGTTTTAAAAGCATAAAATAATAATCAAATGAATGGTTGTGAATTATAATCTTTTTTAACATATTTAACCTTTTTAATGGATAACCAAGTCTGTTTCTAACTCCAATGTTTGGATGTTTCCCAATTCCTCATTTTATTTTATCAATACGGAATGTTTAGTATAACCCCCAATACTACCTTGTCTACCTTTCTCATAATTAGGCAGGGTTAAATATTAGTCCTTGAATTGTATCCTCAAAAATATATTTATGGATGAAAATTTTTGATTTATAAGAAATGTATATTTTTGCAAACAGAAAAGATTAAAGTAGGTTTATCCCTGTCTGGGTTCACAAAGTATACAGTGTACACATATTCAGAATATATTCGGAAACCTAAAACCCGCCAAACCAATTTAAGGATGACCATCAACACAATATGTTTTTATTTTTATTTTTTTTCTATTCATTATTTAATATCTACGACTGCAAACTGCTTACACAAAATTTGTAAGTGTTAATTATTATAATATCATACGCATCATCTTTAACCTAGCATTCTGCAGCCACAGGGCCGTTTAACTGGGGAAGTGGGGAGGCAACCGGACAGCCTCGCCCCTCTCAGAGCTTTAGTAACAATCAGCCTCCCCCCTGGACAATAAAATTTATGGTTTCAAGTGGTTTTCAGGCCCCTGCGGTACTACGGGTTATGAGCTCCCCCTGGATTCCTGAATACACTCCTAATATATGATCCGGTGGGAGCAGGGGGGTGCACCGCCTCCATGTATGATCATATTTTCGATCAATACCTAAACATTTCAAGGATAACACATTATACATTGGAAATGTAGATATAGTTAAATTTAAGCTTAAATGACTCAAGGTTGTATTATAATGGTTTACCCACAAGAGATAAGACTGCAAAGACGACCTGATCCAGCTTTAAATTTGACGATGCCTTGAATAATATTAGTTTGACTTATTTAATGACTAGGCAAAAAAGAAACCTGTTTACAGTTGCAGGGAATCGTAATTATATAAGGAAACAGACCAAATAAATTCTGTACAATCGTCTTTGAAGTCTCATCCTTTGTGGGTAACCCTGTACTACCGCTTTACTGGGAATGTTATAGAATTACATAATTTATAAACTTTTAAACGCCTCTATTCACTGAAAGAAAACTCCCGGATAGTTTTAGCTTCTAAAGTAATTAATATTATATAGTTATACACTTAAACATCCTTTAAAAGACGGAATTAAACGGAATAGTACATACAAAATGTTGTGCCCCCCCCTTGGCAACATTAAAAACCCCAAGTTTTTGAAAATATATTGATACCTTTTTTGACTATGTAAACATTCAATCATATACATACTTACACTTCCTCTTAATACTGTGGTGTAAGTTTCAAGGGATGAAAAATAGAGATGGAAACGTTCTAAAAAAATATTTATATTTCCATAGGATATATACATAAAGCTTTATAAATTATGATATAAAATATGTGTCTACACTGAAGGCATTATTGATTAAAAAATTTGTTAATGAAATTTTTTTCGTTAAGGGCAAAAGTGAGATTTTAAAAGTATTTGTTTTATACGATGTAATTATACTTGAATGGAATACATGCGTAATTTCAAGTGACCCTCCATAGGGCATGTCAGATGTGCCATTGAAACCTTCATTTATCCATCGTTTCTGAAGCAAGAAACACGCGAGTCACTTTTGTAGAGAAACCACAAATAAAAATAATCAGTTTTCAAAATGGTAAACATGGATACTGTATGTTGATTTCTTTTCTTAATCTTATAGATTGGGTAAGTGCATGCAATGCAATATAGAATGTATGATTGACTGAGGAAGGGAAATGCAAACAGATGTAATATTAAGAGAGCCCCCCATGGATGCCCCCTCAGGGAGGGCACGGGTAGAGGGGGCCGGGGGGTCGTACGCCCATAAATACATAAAATTAATCATTAATGTGACGCATTTAACTATTTATAATACTATCATTTTGGTTCGCACTGTTATAAAGTTTTTAAACAAAAAGAAGTTTCGCGCCTTTTTAAAAATAATTTTTTCCTGAGTTTTTAAGAAAGCAGATAAAAAAATATAATTTTATTTGAAAAAAATATTTTAGAAATATACTAAATTTTTAGGAGAAAATCCGGGAACCAATCAAAACTTTATATGCACACATGCCATAATGTACAGCTAATTTAACTTTATATGATGATGATTACTTCATACTGTAAAGCACGTTCATAATACAATTCACCATGAAGTGAGTAAAACTGATAAAGTACACAATAGTTACATAATAACTATTTATGAAATACATGATGAAGTGAGTAATATTGATAAAGTACGCTTTAGTTTCATAAAATGATTAATAATGAAAATATTTGATTCAATAGATCTTGTGGGGGGGGGGGTGAGTGAATGTTACAATGCATTGAATAGGTTATTTTCTCCCAAAAAACGATATTTTGAGAAAAATCATTTTTTTATAATGATGAACAAATTCACAAAAATTCTGAATTTCAATAAAAAAGGATTTTATCCTCCATGTATTCAATTTACCTCAATTCCACAATTTAAACTGTATATTACATGAATTCCATGAATGGAAATATATAATTACATAGAATTAATTGCATTACATTTACATAATAATTAAAACAGGAAAAAAAGATAATAAATACTTGAATTTTCACTTTTTAACATTTTATTGTTTAGTTCACCTTGATATAACAGTATACTCAAGGATAACAAGGGAGGGGTGGCTGCTCTCATGGTTTTGGAATAGCTCAGGGTTTTGGAGTAAAATGTGAAAATTTATCCGACCTTTTATGAAAAGTCCTTTAAACAGGGAACTTTTAAAAAAATTGAAAATTGAAAATAGGGCTCTGCTACCGCTTTTTTTACTGTCTTTGTTTAAATATATCCATGGAATAAATCGCGAATTTGAGTCCAAGTAGCCTGTGGCGATCATATAGTTTTGACTAGCCAAACTGACGACATTTGTTTCAGCTTACACTGCAGTAAAGATTATTGTTAAATCATTGAGATATCCGAGGAAAACTATGTTTTTTCTTAGTTTTCCTCAGATATCTCAAAAATTTGATGATTTTTGGTTTAGTGCGCACAATATTGAAAGCTCTAAATTTTACAGAGAACAATTCATATTTCGTGGCTGTTGAGTAAAAACGCATGGTTGTATGGAACCAATCAATTAAAGATTTTTTAAGGCGAAAAATTGGAGTTTTTTTTAAACTTGGAAATGAGATAACTTATAAAGATATTAAGATGTTTATACCAGCTCTAATGAAACATTTATGTATCTATGTAGTTAAAAAAAAGATTTTTTACATTTATCAATTATCTTTAATGTGTAAGCTGAAACAAATGCTTTCAATTTGGCTTATCAAAATTATATGATCGCCATAGGCTACTTGGACTGAAATTTGCAATTTTTTTTCTGCAGGTCGGATAGATTTTCACATTTACTCCAAAACCCTGAGAGAAGCCACCCCTCCCTCGGCAAACAATTACTAATCAGGGACTAAATAAAAAGCTTGAAATATTTTTTTAACCCCCCGCCCACCTCCTCTTCTCTGTGAGTACTTTTGGTTACACTTTACAGGGATTGTAAGCGTAATTTCAAGTAACTCTCCATGCAAAGATGGCAATGCCCTCTTAAAAGCTTTGTCTGATCAAGTATGAATTAGGTATCGCATGTTGTCAATTCAAAAGCTGATTATTTTCAATTGTGTGTTGTCTACAGAATTGACCTAACTGCTGGACAGCCAATATGTTTAACACTTTTAAACCTATAAAAATACAATATTTTCCACATTATTATTCGGATAAAGGTTTCAAGAATACGTTTGCAGTCTCTTTAAGTTTAATAAAAATACAAATGTGGGAATTTTTTGTCTCTAATTCGAAGTCCGTAAAAGATTGTTATTCTTTAATATTTAAAACTGCAGTTATTACGAAAAATCCTTCTTTTTACAGGTGGTGAAATTGGGTTCCAAAGTCATGGACTTTTAACCAGGACCCATAATTTACCCTGCCCCCCTCCTTCCCCTTCTATAAATATACATATTGGTAAAAGTCAATTTTTTAAAAATTTTATTGAACTGCAGTGCAGAAATTCTGTAGGCCACTTGTTACTTAAACATATATTTACATTTACCAGGAATGTTATTTTATCGTATACTCTATTCTACTCACAGAGAGATACCTTACACTGGTGCACTGTTAAAACTTAAATTCAAACTTTGTTTTGTCAATATCAATTTTCAGACTTAACATAAAAGAAATATTCATTAAAATGGCATTGGGCCTTTAAAGTTTTAAAAATCAGTTGATGCTTTTTTTTAGCTTTTTTCAGATTGATGTCAGAGCCTTCATTCTAAACCAAAGTTCGTCTTTTAGAACATAAAAATTTCTGCTAAAATTTCGATCTGATGGTGCAAGCGAATAGCCTTTATAGTTTTAAAATTATTATATTTTTAATTAAAGTTTTGGTAAACAAACAAGAAAACAAGTTTTTTTTTACATTAATACAAGGTTTTTGTTGCACAAATAGATTAAAAATTTTAAACTGACAAAAACACCAGAGTCGGTTGAAAACTGAGGCTGCGATGTGATGAAAATGTATTAAAATGCATCCGATGATTTCCCAAACTTCAAGCGTGCAATAAATACAAACATGATACAAGGTTTTTCTATGTCTCATTTGAAATTCTTCATGATTATTTTGATGTTCTTAAACACTGAAATTCGTTCAGAATTAAGACACTATAATAACTACTTTTTTTAGATCCATATACAGATAGAAAGATGAACTAGATAAATTGAATGGATAAAAGGTACAGAGAGGATAAAATAAAGTGATTGTTCACCAAAAAATCTTTTTTTCTGATTTCTATATTTGCAACATAGACCTTTGAATTTGATATTTCCAACTATGAATTATAATTTCTAGTGCTGAAGCACAAATAGTCAAAGCTTGAAATATAAATGGTTTACACCATCAGGTTGCAAAGATAGAATACTGACACAAATTATGGGAACAGAAAAATAATGATACAAAAAACAACATGGAACCCCAGTTTTGTCTGGAAACTCAACTTTCTTTCTACTGTGAATTATTTAATCATAATTTGAGGCGAATCGATCAAGGGGCTCCTGAGTTATGATCGAACATAAAATCAAACAAACAAACAGACAAAATTTATACTTTATATGTATATAGATATATTATAGTTTTCCAGTCTGTGGCGTAGTGTATAAATCCAACTATTTAATATAATGCAATACAAACATATATCCTGCCCTTAATACCTCAGTTGGGAAATATATCTATGTTTGGATCAATCAAATGTTAATTGTTTTAAAGCGAGATTTAAAAAGATTAATTGAAGTGAAACACGCTAACAATTAGTGATATAAAAATAAAGTTATATTCATAATTTAGAAATGTAAAACAAAATGTTGGGGTTCTTCTGAAAGTGAAAAAAATTGTATCTAAATAAATCACATTAAAGAGAGTGACCCGCAATGTATGGTAGTTGCACTGAGAATGCAGTATTGTGAAGAATTTTTTTAGGATTCATTTGAGACATATAACGCTTTAATGATGTATAGTTACGGAGTTTGAGTTTGAGTGCAAAGTCGACGTTCAAAATCATCTATTTGGGTGGTAACGGTTTGAGAATCGATTTTTTTAAAACCATTAAATAACGACGACAAAAATTAGTAAAAAAAATCGACAGTAAACTTATTGGATATTTAGGAACATATTTCTCAATAGAAATTTGTCAATATATCAACGTTAAGATAAACTATTTCTTTTTCATCACTATAATGAATTTCTTATTCTAAATATTTCAACAAAAGTTCCGGGAAATCTACAGAAAATGTTTTGTGAACAGTGAGACATCGAAGAAACAAATAACTTTATAAGATTACTTATTTTCGAGAATAAGAGTAAATTTTATTTTCTCAACCTGTTCCTAAACAACTATTTGTTTTAATTTAGAAAATTTATTACATTTTTTGACGACTTTAATTATACATCAATAAACCGTTTTATATGTCTCAACTGAATCCTAAAAAATTTCTCTACAAAACTACATTCTCAGTTTAACTACCATACATTGCCGGTCACTCCCTTTAAGGGCCAACCTGAACTGAATGCATTCGGTTTCTTTTAGTTGAATTCGATCTAGTTTTGGTCGAGAATTTAACAATCTGTAAACTTACGAATATGTCTTTTGTGTTGTTTCAATTAAATGCAATAAAATCTAAAGTGTGTCCATTGGATACTCAGATTAAGTAATTTGGATTAAGAATATCTCATTGAAAAAGTTTTCAGCTCAGATGACAAAAATTGTACAAAATAGAACGCAAAACAATTATGTTTAGTGACAGATTGCTGGGATTAAGACCGAAGTGTTAAATCTACGTGGAGTAACAACAATACATTCTCTGTTCAACTACCATACATTGCCGGTCACTCCCTTTAATCTCCAGATTAATTAACCAATCGGGATTAAGAATATTTAAAAGTTCCCAGCTCAGGTCCATGTCAAAACCAGGGTGTGGTCCTGATTGGTTTAATTGAATATATAACCTGATGTTTACAGAAGTAAGACGAAGATGGTTAAACTGATTGCTGAGTTGCTGGTTCTAATCCAGTTAACACAACTCTCTGCTCTTATCACTCCTTGGAATAAACGTCCTCTAGGACAACTAGGGTAGGCAGGATACATAAGTGTAACGACGTCCTCTAGGACAACTAGGGTAGGAAGGATACATAAGTGTAGCGTCCTCTAGGACAACTAGGGTAGTAAGGATACATAAGTGTAACGACGTCCTCTAGGACGAACAGGTTAGGCAGGATACATAAGTGTAACGACGTCCTCTAGGACGAACAGGGTAGGAAGGATACATAAGTGTAGCGTCCTCTAGGACAACTAGGGTAGGAAGGATACATAAGTGTAACGACGTCCTGTAGGACGAACAGGGTAGGCAGGATACATAAGTGTAACGACGTCCTCTAGGACGAACAGGGTAGGAAGGATACATAAGTGTAACGTTCTCTAGGAAGACTAGAGTAGGAAGATGCACAGGGGTAACGTTCTCTAGGAAATCGAGAATAACTGGGTTAACGGAAGGGATTCACAGGTGTAACGTCCTTAAGGACAACTAGTTTAGAAAAGATACTCAGGCGTAACGTCCACCAGGAACGTCTAGTGAAGAGATTATTCACAGTTGCAACCTCATTTGGACAACAAGGGTAGGAAGGATATAAAGGTGTAACCTCATCTAGTACAACAAGGGTAGAAAGGATCCGTAACACAAGTCTAACGTCCTCTTTGATAACTAGGTTATGAAGGATACACAAGTGTAAAGTCCTCTAGAACGACTAGGATATGATATAGGAATAGTAGGATAGGGAGAATGCAGTGGGGTAACGTGCTCTAGGACGAATAGGGTAGGAAGGATACATAAGTGTAACATCCTCTAGGACGAATAGGGTAGGAAGTATACATATGTTTAACGTCCTCCAGGACGAAAAGGGTAGAAAGGATACATAAGTGTAACGTTCTCTAGGACGTCTAGGATATGGAGGATGCACAGGGGTAACGTGCTTTATGAAATCCAGGACAGGGAGGATAACAGGGCTAACGTCCTATAGAATATCAAGGGTATGGAGGACACAAAGGATAACGTCATCTATGACAAGAAGGTTCGGGAGTTTATAAAGGGGTAACGTTCTCTAGAATTGGGAGTAGAGATGATAAACTAGGGTAGGTAGTACACACACTACATACTACAAAGGAACAACGTTTTCTAAGACAACTAGGATAGGAAGGATAAACTTGGTTAACGTCCTTAAAAATCTATAAATGAATCTTGATTTTTAGAACTCCATCCGGAAGTGGAGGCGTCCCTTTAGTTCCAGGCATACAGAATAGATATCCACAACATTCCAGGTAGATGTCTACAACATTCCAGGTAGATATTCACAACATTCCCGATAGATATTCACAACACTCCAGGTAGATATCCACAACACTCCAGGTAGATATCCACAACATTCTAGGTAGATATCCACAACATTCCAGGTAGATATTCACAACATTCCAGGTAGATATTCACAACATTCCAGGTATATATATACAGAACATTCCAGGTAGATATTCACAACATTCCAGATACATATCAGCAACAATCCAGATTCACTTTATTTTTAATTAATATATTTTAACTTTTTAAAAAGGATAAAAGATGAATGAAATGCTAAAAGATAAAATTAAATAAGATTAGGTTTATGAAATTTAGTTCTGGGGACTGGAGGATGTTAAACCAGAATACAGATAAATTATCCAGAGCAGCAGAGTTATAATAATAATGGACATGTTTTGGTTTCAATGTGTAGAAATTTTTAGGTTTTAATCTGTAGAAATGTTTAGGTTTAATTCTGTAGAAATATTTCGGTTTAAATCTGTAAAAATGATTAGGTTTTAATCTGTAGAAATGATATGATTCAATCTTTAGAAATGTTTATGTTTCAATCTGTAGAAATGTCTATTTTTCAAACTGAAGAAATTTTTATTCTTCAATCTGTAGAAATGTTTAGGTTTCAATCTGTAGAAATGGTGAACGGTATCCCCTATGGTAGATCTGGGTACAGAGGATCAGCTATTCTTTTCTCAATAGAGGTATATCATTAAAACTCACAGTTTAATTTTTAATTTTTGAATAAAAAAATAAATATTGCTTCATTTCCTGTACAGGGTTACTCACAAAGAATGAGACTTTATGACAACTTAAAAATTTACAGATGCATATCAGGAACCGTATATTTACAGATGCATATCAGGAACCGTATATTTACAGATGCATATCAGGAACCGTATATTTACAGATGCATATAAGGAACCGTATATTTACAGATGCATATCAGGAACCGTATATTTACAGATGCATATCAGGAACCGTATTTTTACAGATGCATATACGGAACCGTATATGTAAGAAAAGTTGACCTGTATTTTAATGTAAAATGGTCGTTGTCATTGAAAAGGGAGATGAGGTCAAACATAAAAAAATACATTTTTTTGGATTTCTAAAAGTTTAATATTGTCCTGTCTAGGTTACTCCTGGAGTAAGGTTGAATATTGTCCTGTCTAGGTTACTCCGGGAATAAGTTTTAATATTGTCCTGTCTAGGTTACTCCAGGAGTAAGTTTTTATATTGTCCTGTCTTGGACACTCCCGGAGTAATATTTTGCTGTCTATTTTACTCCAGGAGCAATTTTTATATTGTCCTGTATAAAGGTTACTAAAGGAGTAAATTTTGATATTGTCCTGTCTAGGTTACTCCAGGAGTAAGTTTTAATATTGTCCTGTCTAGGTTACTCCCGAAGTAAGGTTGAATATTGTCCTGTCTAGGTTACTCCGGGAGTAAGTTTTAATATTGTCCTGTCTAGGTTACTCCCGGAGTAAGGTTTAATACTGTCCTGTCTATAGATTACTCCTGGAGTAAGTTTTGAAATTGTCCTGTCTATTGGATATTACAGGAGTAAGTTTTAATATTGTTCTGTCTAGATTACTCCAGAAGTAAGTTTGAATATTGTCCTGTCTAGTTTACTCCCGGAGTAAGTTTAAATATTTTCCTGTCTAGGTTACTCCTGGAGTAATATTGCCTTGTCTAGGTTACTCCGGGAGTAAGTTTAATATTGTCCTATCTAGGTTACTCCTAAAGCAAGTTATAATATTTTTCTGTCTAGGTTATTCCAAGAGTAAGTTATAATATTGTTCTGTCTAGGTTATTCCAAGAGTAAGTTATAATATTGTTCTGTCTAGGTTACTCCTGGAGTAATATTGTTCTGTCTAGGTTACTCCTGGAGTAATATTGTTCTGTCTAGGTTACTCCTGGAGTATTGCACATGGTGGAAACCAAGAACAAATAATAATTGATAATCCTAGAGTTGGAAGGTTAAATCTATTTTTATTGCTACACATAAAATGAAATGCAAAAATGCTCGTGAAATAATTCCAACCGGTTAGAGTTGAAAACTTATTAATTAATTGAATAAACTCTCCCCCCAGAGAATTTTAAATGGATCTTCATAAAACGAAAATAGATAGACAACGGTATCCTTTAAACTTTTATCTTATTAACACTAAGGAAAAAATCATTGTTTTTTAATTAAAATTTGTCAAATTCTCACATTTTTCTTGCTGTCTAATTCTGTTACTAATAAATCCACAAGTTAATCTAATAGACTAAAGTTTTAAGGGTACCATCGAGAATCGGAAATGCCAGACTATAAAAGGGAGGTTACTTGAAGATATGTCTGATCAGTCCCTTTAATCACTCTCATCTTGCCCTTGAAATCTTGAAAAGTTTAAAACGCTTAAAATCGAAAATGTTCAATTTCAGAACAATATCTTTATAACTTTATAAATCCTCCAATGCAAAAGGCGTAAAGATATTGTTTAGCGAATAAAGATGTTTTACTTTCTAAATTGGGCACAACTAAAACCCCAATTTTTATCGCTTAAACCAAATAGATCCAAATTTCTATAAAAATTGCATCAAATTTCAAGAGGCATGAGCAGACTTTGGAGTGCCCCAACGTGTTGACCTTTTGATTTTAACTGAATATCTCAAATGTTTTTTTTGTAGCTCTAGACATGTACATTTGAAACTATCAAGAATAAGTTTTTTATGAAGCAATTATTAATTTCCAACTATTTTTACGTGGGAGCCCGGAGCTTGCAACCTTTGGATCTTGTGAAAAATGTCTTTTTAGAGTCGAAATGATCGAAACTATCTTTATGGACTAATGCGTTTTCCACAAAATCCACACAACTTGTAATTTTCTTGAACTTAATCAAACTTTAAGAAAAACGACTGTTCTCTCAGTTAATAGATTTTCTTCCAATAAGTTCTATAAATCGTAAGATTTTCTTGAGAACAGGTGATTGATACCAATGTCAGAATATTATATGTACAAACATTTAGACTCTCTTTGCTTAGACAACTTTGATCGAAAAGATATGCCATCCATTACCTATACATTTGGGGAATTTTTAATGTTTTCAGAAATGCAATTGGGAAACAATCCCTTTAACACAAAATCGATATGATTATATGCATGGTTACCAACAAAGAAAGTTTAAGCTCCAGTTATGAACTTGATTGATATCAAATAATTCAAATAATGTATTTATAAAATCACTTAAATCTCGACCTTACTTGGTAACCCTGTACAGTGTACAAGGTTACCAACATAGAATAAGACTTCAGAGACGACTGTGTGGAATTTATTCAGCCTTCGTTTTTACGTTAATGATTCCTAAAAGCTGTAAACATTCAAACAATTGAAAATACAGACACAAAACTATATTTTAGACAAAAATCAAATGCAACCTGTTTGGTCTTTAAATTTTACGAGCTTTGGGTCGTCTTTACAGTCTCATCCTTTGTGGGACACCTTGTATATCAAGAATGAATGAATGAATTATGAATATATATTTCCAGGTATTACATTGTCCTGTTTGGATACGAGAACTATGACAATGTTGGGTTTGAAGCTGAATTTAGATAACATGGATAATTTGATATTTAATATTTTAATACTAAATATATACATTATTATTTTATGCTTCTAAATGCATGATATTTTAATCCTGTTACATCAAGGCGGGGCTTTAATGTGATATGAACGTGTTTTAGTATATTGGCTGGAATTCTATAATACACGTTTCCGGTAATTACGAAGGTCATTTTAAAATGCAAAAATATTGAATAATAAACACAATCTTTTGTCATTTAACTTAAAAAATTGGATTCTTTTTGTTTAGAGGAGCGTGCAACTGCAAAGTTTTTAAAGATTTCTTGTTGTCTTTTTGTTCAGCTGTACGATTACTAAGAATCTGCCTAATTGTCTATCTGCAATACTTATTATATGATTCACCTATACTTGTAACTTAACGGAAAAGGTTAAAATTAATGAATCAAGAATTAAAATCTGGGTTTTCATATTATTATCAATATATTTTTGTTGATCTGAAAACTCAAAAAGGGAAAAAATTATTGAATTAATACAAGATAAAAAACTGAATTTTAGCTTCAAATAAAAGGTTTATTTAAAAATTTCGACTATTTTAAACTCTAGGATTATTGATGATGTTATTTATCATCAAAGGTTTAAGATGTGTAAATCATAAACAATGAAAATGAACATTGAACATACTACGGAGAATTATTACTTCAAATATCCAAAACTTATTTTTACTGCATGGAATAATGTCATCAAAAAAGAAAAAATGCCTGTAAAAGCTCAAAATAAAGCAGAAAATCTTCAATCTTTTGTGTGCCCAAAATATTCTATAACGAATTCTAGAAAACTACTCCTTTAAGCTAGAGAATTTTATTAATGAACTCAATCTTTCTTGACAGAACAAAAATTACTTTTAATCCCTTGTTAATCTTTTCTTCGTTTTCTTCTTTTAAATTTTTCCTTTTTCTTCTTTTTTTTTGGCTTAGTTAATGTGTAGCTTCCTTTCCATGAGTAGGGGAGTGGGGTCACGATCGACTATCTCATAGATAATAATAAATATTAGTTTTGTCAGAAACTGAAGAATTTGATGAGAGGCTTTGCAGTGCTTCGCAGCACTGTCGGTTGCACCACGTGAAGGCTCTCTCTTGGCAACCAAACCAAACTAAACTAATAAACAAACATAAACAAGAAAAATGGAGAGAAGAAGTAGGAAACCAGACCCTTCCAAACTTTTCAACCTACTTAAACGCCTCAATTGACAACCACAAAGCAAACAGAACCAAGGAATCAGATTCAAAGGAAAGTACCTGTCCACTGCATCAAATATTGCAAATAACTTCAACAAACAATACACATCTGTCTCCAGGCACACCAGCTCCAAACTCACTAGAACCATCTTCAAAGAATCACAAAGGAACACTACATCAGGAGCTACAATAATCACCGCATCTGACACAAGTGAAGCAATAAAAAAAACCAAATCCTCCAAAGCAATAGGACCTTACGGAATATCCAACCTTCATCTTAAACACCTTGGACCACTAGGACTTGAATATCTAACTAACATTTTCAACCTCTCACTTCAGCACAGTAAAATCCCTCAAATATGGAAAAACTCTATCGTCATCCCTCTCCTTAAACCAGGAAAAGATCCTGCTGAGTCCAAATCCTATAGACCTGTTTCACTTCTATGCCCTGCAGCCAAAACCTTAGAAAGACTAATCCTACCTGAACTCACAGAACACCTTCCTATCCCTAATTTCCTTGGACTGGAAGAACTCGAGGATGCTGACCCAGGATGAAGCTACAACAACAACATAATAATAAATGTAGAAAATTTCAGGAATAAAGTTATCGGTACATCTCCGAAATATAAAGGCCAGCTCCGAAGTATGTTTACATGTGAAAATAGAATACAACGGTAGCCATTTCTGTAGAAATACAATGGTTAATATTTCTGTAGAAATACAATGGTTAATATTTCTGTAGAAATACAATGGTTAATATTTCTGTAGAAATACAATGGTTAATATTTCTGTAGAAATACAATGGTTAATATTTCTGTAGAAATACAATGGTTAATATTTCTGTAGAAATGCAGGGTTGTATATTTTACTAGGTTACTGGAATATTTTTCGCTGGGAGAACATAATAACCACGTTTACAGAGAAGAACAATGAACTATACATTATACATTGGTGCAATGTGCATATTTTAGTAGTATGGGGAAATATTTCTGTAGCAGTAGAAGTATGTATATTTCTGTAGCAGTAGAAGTATATATATTTCTGTAGCAATAGAAGTATATGTATTTCTGTAGCAGTAGAAGTATATATATTTCTGTAGCAGTAGAAGTATGTCTATTTCTGTAGCAGTAGAAGTATATATATTTCTGTAGCAGTAGAAGTATGTATATTCCTGTATAGTAGAACTACATATATTTCTATAGCAGTAGAAGAATATATATTTCTGTAGCAGTAGAAATATGTATATTTCTGTAGCAGTAGAAGTATGTCTATTTCTGTACCAGTAGAAGTATGTATATTTCTGTAGCAGTAGAAGTATATATATTTCTGTAGCAGTAGAAGAATATATATTTCTGTAGCAATAGAAGAATTTATATTTCTGTACCAGTAGAAGTATGTCTATTTCTGTAGCAGTAAAAGAATATATATTTCTGTAGCAGTAGAAGTATTTATATTTCTGTAACAGTAGAAGTATATGTATTTCTGTAGCAATTATATTATGTATATTTCTGTAGCAGTACAGGAGTTTATAATTCTGTAGCATTAGAAGTACGTATATTTCTGTAGCAGAAGTATATATATTTTTGTAGCAGTAAAAGTGTGTATATTTCTGTAGCTGTAGCAGTATCTATATATTTTTGAAGCAGTAGAAGTATATATATTTTTGTAGCAGTAGATGTATATATATATTTTTGTAGCAGTAGAAGTATATATATATATATATACACAAGTACAGAAGTTTATAATTCGGTAGCAGTGCAGAAGTTTGTAATTCAGGTGATTATGTTTCTGGTTTAAATTCTATCAATAGTATAATTCGAAAAATGTATTGGCGCAGAATTTCTTATGGAAAGTATTTGTAGATCATGTCTTCCGAAATCTTCACTGGAGTATTCTGCAAGAGTTCAAAACTTAAGTGTTACACAATTTTCGGTAATATGGAAGTATATGAATACAGAGATACACTACTTGGGGATGCCGACTAGAGAGGGAGGGGGGGGGGTTGACTCCGAGGGATCAGCTGATTTGGAGAGGGGGCGGGGGATGACTCCGAGTATACACTATACGGAGTTAGTCAAACGTCAAACTCGAGAAAACAACTAATATGGACATGAAGATGATTATGGAAATGGGGGACCAGGAAATAGTTCAGTGGTTGCGGAATGAAGGATTATTAAAACGAAATTTACAGTGCATAGCTTGTGGAAGTTTCCTGACACTTACAGCTATCAACGGCAGAGACAAGATGGGTTGGAGGTGTCTTAATAATGGTTGTGACAAGAGGAACCATAATGTTAGTGTGAGAATCCAGTCTTTCTTCTCTGGTTTTAAACTTACTTTGAAGGATCAAGTACTGCTTGTACTGTTTTGGAGTGAAACCATTAGTAACCAAAAGGCCTCTATGCTCCTCAAAATAAGCCAGAAAACTGTAACCAAATTCTTCCAAAAGTTTAGAAATCTGACCAGCCAGCACTTTCAAATGCATCCTATCCAACTTCCAAGATAGCCAAATTGCGCAAAAAGAGCGCAAATTAAACGTCACTTTTCGCATTTTTACGTAAATTTTTCGTCGAGATTTTGGTTCTTTTTACGTCATGAAAGACGTAAAATCGCACACTAAGCTACGCAAATTTATTGGTTTTAGTATACGTAAGATTTACGTAATAATACTATACAAATTTACGTCGAAAATGGGCATTATTATTTTCTCAATAAACATGTCGGCTCTCTTTCACCAAAAATTATGCTAAATCTAAGCAAATTTGATGCATGCAGATATGCCATCAATCCCTGCAGTTGGATGGATGGATGCAGTATAAGTATCTCTCTCTAAACTAACTCCATTCATCAGGGAATACAATTTAACATAGAGATTACTGATTCTAGTATTATAATTAGTATGGAGTTATAAAAGATATATCAATTTTTCTGATAGAAAATTCAGTGCATTTTCCTAATAAAAATGTTTTTTTTTTTTAAATTAAAATAATTTAAAACCTAAATCTTGACTTCTAAATGATATACTTTTAGTAAAAAATTTAATCTGTACCTTTTTCTTTTTTTAAATTTTACGTAAAACAAACAGAGACACCTAGCGGTAAAATTTGGTACTAAAAACCAGTGTTCTATGTAGCACTTTAAATTCTCTGCCCAATTATCCCCCCCCCTTCCCACTCTTATCTACAAATCACACGGCTTTCTATTTAATATAACATTATATATTGCTGCACTCTGCACTGCAGTGCACACACACCTAGGCCACTCAATTCTTCAATATGTAAAACACTCAAAACATATGCGTAAAAAGAGCGCAATTTTTACGCAATTTTAATGCTAACAAAGACCATTTAAATTCTTTTAAAAAGTTTATTTTCTCAATTTATTTTGGAAAATGCGATATGTGCCGTATCGGAAATCTTAAATATTTCACAAATAATTTAGATTTAGAGTTTTAGGCAATTACGCAAATTGAGCGTATTTTTACGCAATTTGTATACCTGAAATAAAACGATACACATCTCCACAAATTCATGATATTTTTACTTAAAGCTGGGTTATAAAATATTTACTTTAGAAAAATTAGATATTTACACTACTTTGAAATCTAGACTTACGCAAATTTGCGTTTTAATTGCGTAATTGGAGCCAAAATATTATGCGTTTACAATGCTTACACAATTTGGATAGCTGGGTTGGAGGTCCTGGAATCATAGTTCAGATAGATGAGTCTGTGTTTAGCACAAAGGCTAAATATCACAGAGGAGCAGCTCTTCATCAGAAACCTTTGTGGGTGTTTGGAGCTGTAGATGAGGATGGGATGGGTTATATGGAAATAGTCGAGGATAGAACTAGAGTGACCCTGGAGGCTGTCATCATTAATCGGATTAGAGCAGGATCAGTTATTCATAGTGATTGTTGGGCATCCTATAATCATATTTCCACAATTGCTAACAAAAACTTTACCCATATGGAACTGTGAATCAAAGCAACAAAGATTTCCCTTTTAAGGACCCAATAACAGGGGTACATACAAATCGGATCGAGGGCTACTGGTCAAAACACAAAAGACCTCTTAAGGCAATGTGCGGAGTTCCAAGAAATCTTCTACAATCCTACATTGATGAAATCCTCTTCAAAGAAAGAATTCCATCTGGAGTTAACAAGTTCCAGGCAGTCTGTGATTTAATCAAAGATACACATGTAAAATACAGGATTAATACATTTGTTTAACATTAACATTTTTGATTTATATTTAAAGTATATAGAGAGAAGGTGAGAGAAACAGAAAAATAGATAGACAGAGAGGTAGAGAGTTAACCCAATTGTAAATATGTCAACATTATAGATATATTGAAAGATCGTGCATATGTGTATTCTGTAACCTCTATCAGCTGATCTCCCCCCTCCTGTAGTCAGAAGCTCTAACCCTGCTGCAAATTCTGTATTCATATACTTCCATATTACCCAATTTTCTTCCAATAATTATATTCTTCTCTCAAACCTAAAATCTTCTTCGTAATCTGAAAGATTGTTTAATAATAAGGGTTGTGTATATCATTTATTGGTTCAAAAATGCAAAATACCCCGTTAACCAGGTAAAAAATAAATTCAACAATGACACAAGAATAATGATCAAAAATCGGTCCGTCCTGGCCTCTTCTATCTTTCTATCTCACTTGAACCAGTTATATCCTGATTTTCATCCTCCAAACCTTGCGGACTCTCAGCCTCCGGGGAACTCTTCGGAGGACTCTCCAGGTTAGCTGGACTACTTCCTGGAGGGGAGGAGGTGGACGGGTTCTCATGAGACGGGATATTAGTATCAGGGGGTGAAGATTCTCCAGGAATATGATGAGAAGGTCCGGCCTCGGAATCCACCTCAACCTCAGCCTCTGCTGAATGTTTAGCAAGTAGATCAGGAACTACTGGAGTATTCCGTCCTGAAGGATTTCCACCAGACCAGGAATACCTACAATACAAGATTGAAAAAAACTGTTTATTTTGTTAAACTTTTGTTTGAGCTAAAGGTCAAAGCTTTCAATTTTCACAGCTTCTGCCTAAGCCAGACACAACGGGCACAACAATATTTTAGAAAGTTATAGTTTTTTGCCATGCTGCTCAAAATTTCAGTGTGTAAGAAGATTCCATTTAGGAATCCTTGTAACAAGAAATTTGAGCTCTTTCATCTTTTAAAAATAAACGGAAGAATAAAAAGGAATTATTTACAACTATGGAGACATTCGTAAAACCATAAATAATCGAATATGGAAAAAAGAGAAAATATTTCGGATATTTTTAGTGAGAGAATTGTCGTTAAAAATTCCGTGTTTATTTCATGGCCAATCAAAGATGCAAATCCGCAAAGAAACGGAACGTAAAGCACTGTCTGCATTTGCTAGTATTCCAGTATTCAGTACAGTGTACACTGTTCTGTACATACCTAGGTCTAGGTGAGGAGGGAAGAGGGGATACAGCAGAACCAGGATGTGGAGTTGTATTCCCAGACACCTAATAATATATTTACTATTAAATATATTTTTGTATATTATTCAGAATTCAAAAAGACAGTTTTTACATTTAGTTTGATAGTTTTATCCAAAAATTCATTATTTTTTTTTGGCTAAAAATCATATATTTTCTCCAATTAAGCGAAAAAAACTTTAAAAAATTTACAAACATAAATAACATCTGGGAAAATAAAATGATTTTCAAAAAGGATGATTTTTCGAGAAAGTATACACCCCTGTGAGAACCTGGTCAAGGAACAATTAAAGCCAGGCTGTTTAAAATTAGAAAATGTACTAAGGTAGAACTATTGGACCAGAACCTGCGAGGAATAGCAAAATATCGACCAAAAATACAGATTACAACAAAAAATTGTTCCCAAAACTTTACTCCTCAGTTTACAGATCTTACTGAAATTTTAAAATGTTTTAAAAAATGGTCATTTCAATACAGTTTGCAGAGGTGTTGATAACCGGGGAAATTAGCAATTTTTGTAACTACAATACCGTTTTTAATAAATAGTTTGAAAAAAGTAAATAAAAAAGTATTATCTTAAAATCTTACTTCAGGTCCTTGTATAGAAGGGGAATACACCGGTGTACGGGGGGAGTCCATTGCTGTGGGGGTTGCATTCCCGGGGGAATATATAGGACCAGGGGAGTACTGGGGTCCAGGGGAGTACTGAGGACCGGGGGAGTAGGAGGGAGTGTGAGGGGAGTAGAAGGGAGTGTGTGGTGAGTGGTTCTGAGGACTACTCATGGGTACTCCAGCACTACTGGGGGAGTAGGCAGGACTATAAGGGGCACTTGGGGAGTACCCAGGTCCTGAGGGGGAGTATCCTGGACCTACTGTATCCGGGGAGTACTGTGAGGGGGAGTAGGTAGCAGCTGGAGTAGCATTACCCGGTGAGTAGAGAGGAGAGGAGGGTCCAGGGGAGTTTGTAGGGCCTAGTTTAACAAATATATATAAAATAGTCTCCGGCGTTGCCCAATCCTCGTTGAATTTGGAAAACACTTCAGTAAATAAAGTTTAAGAAAAAATTATTTTATAAAAATTAACAACTTTTTACCCTATTTTTCCCCATTAGTACCCATTAAAAACAAAAATCAGCCATTTGGCCTGCTATAGCAGATATATATATATATATATATATATATATAAACATATATCAAATAGCTTTATTTTATAGATTCACAAGAATATTATATTTTTAACAGCAACTGAGTCCCAGTTCTTCTGAAGGTAAACAATTCTAGAAGAGTAAGGAGGGAATATGTTAGGGAAAAAACATTTAGGAAAAGTACAATGTAAGATGTTATGAGACATTATGAGATACAAAAAAAAATTGTTATTTTGAAAATTCATCGAAATACTAAAATGACCACTGGAACCAAAATATAAGGATCTGAAGAAATATTTAGTATTGGCTGATGATTGTAGTCTATTCCGTTTTATTTCGACTTATTTCATTTTTGATGTAAATTTGTTAAATAAAGAATTAAGTAAGGTCCATTAACAAAATAACATTACTTTGATTTAATAAATTAGTGTGAACTTGTTGAATATATATATTTAGTGTTCCTGTGTATACGGGAGTGCTCCCATGGTTCTGGTTGCCAGGGGTGTAGGAAGGAGTGTATTGAGGGGTGTAGCTGGGCTCATCAGATCCAGATAGGGGG